GCCACTGGTCAGCCTTCTATCAGGAAATGAATGGCTAGATAGGTCTTCCTAACTATAAAATAACTTCATCTGTCTACATGCTAATTTAAAACTGCTCATATAATCCATGTTTTTTAATACATCCATGCATGTGGGCACCTCAAGAATGTTCGAGTTGAGTTTTAGGTTTTGAGTCAAAAAAGCTGATTCCCAATTTCCAAAAGTAGCTCTATATTAATGTCACTTTCAATTAAGATTTTTTTATTGGGGTACAGTTTTTAAACTCATACACTAGACATATTTTCTCTTAAGTTAAAGCCCTGGGAAACAGTTAATATAATAATGAGCCATGTTACAGGCAACGGATAACAATGCTAATTGGGTCTAATGAAACAAGGCACAGGTCTTTTGCTAGTCTTCAAGTTCATTTTTTTACAGGAGGCTTTACAATTAACATTTCAGTTTGCAAGTAATTTCTACTTAATTTATTTCTGATAAACATTTACTCAAACTAGGGGAAAAAAAGTCAGAATGCCTGCTTCAGCATATCTTCTATGTGCTCAAAAATGTTGGGCTCCTCAATTGCAGGACTTATCTGGAAAGAAAATTAGAGTTAGATGAATGGGCTTCCTTCAATCTCTTCTATTGTCTATTATTAAACAATTAGGTGAAATGTTATATTCCCATTACCTTGTAACACTCAAATATAAATGTTCAAAAATAACAAACTTGGAATTTAATATTTTAAAATATCTTTATAATCTTCCAGAGTTATAAAATGAACTATCCAATTAGTAAAGCTATTGGTCCTAGATGATCCTTTCTCTAGAGCTCCTTTTGAGGCATTTCTACGCAGCTCTATAGAAAGAATATTTCTTTGACATTTTCTCATACAATCACTCTTTCCTGTTGCATTGTCTTTCATTAGATCTTGATGGTAAAATATGCAGATCTATGCATGTATAATGAGCACACAAATCAAAAGTATGCATATGCAAGGACTAAACTAAGTTTCCTAAAATAATTTTCACTCCAAAGGGAAGAAATAATTAGCATATATATCAATTAAGACTGTTAATACATCTATTGCCACCCTCAATTGTTTTGCTTTGCCAATCACTAACAGGCATTAACGCCTATAATGAAGGAAAATGTACCTTTAATTCAATAAGATTGAGTTTCCACGAGTATGTTTGAAATTAAGTGGTACTGACTTTAAGTTACCAATAATAAAAATATTTTCACATGCTGGTTCCTGTAATCAAAGTACATGAACTTTATTAATCTGAGTTTCTTTCCAAATTTCTCATTCCTTCCTGTGCTGCTCATCCATTCCAGAGAAAATAGCTATGCAATCCCCCATCCTCTTAACAATAACAAATAAGTAATACTGTATGTTTTTAGGGATACAATTCATGTTTAAGAACCATTATTAAGAGTTTTGCTCTAAATTCTGGCTGATGCCAATGAAATGAAGAAAACCATTTCAAAACTCAGCATTAAACATCCTTAATAGGTTACCTGATATGGCTTTCCATTGACGAGGGCAGATAGAGTTGACCGGGGAATTTTGCCAGATCGGGTTTTGGGTAACTGTTTGACAAACACTGCATTTCGGAAAGCAGCCACAGGACCAATGCTCTCTCTAACATGTTTCACAATTTCTTCCAAAACTTGTTCCTCAGTTGTATTTATATCTGGGGAAGAAGTTCAGATGGTAAGCACTGAGTTAACCTTAATCATTCAGAGCCCAGACAGTCAGGGAGGAGAAAGATCTCTCACCTTTTTTCAACACGCAGAGTGCTAACGGGACGTGACCTTTCAAAGGATCCTCCTTGCCAACAACAGCACAGTCTGCCACAGTACCATGGGAAAGGATTGACTGTAATATATAAATGTATTCATTGAGAAAGTATATACATATATACTTTGGGGGTGTGTATGTGTGTGGATGTGAATAATTCAATGGGGAAAGAAAAAATGCCAGAGAATCCAAAAACCTGTAGTTGCCTGCGTGAAAATTACTAGGAATTCACAACATGCTTACTACTAGGGTGAGTGGTGAGTGATTGAAATATCCATGGTAGTCACTAAAGGTTGACAGTAATTAAGACAAATGCTTGGCTAACCTGCAAAGGAAGCTAAATGTTTGCTTCATCTCAATTGTGTATTAATGAATCGAGATGAAATGTACAGTAGATACCACATGTAAACAGAGCACAATAGCCCTCAGGAAAACAGGGGGGCCTCATGTTGATTCGGCTCTAATGCTGGTTACCATCAGCACACCTACCAGAGGAAGCCAAGGCTCCCCCATGGCAGGGCAGTGATTTTATTTTGGAGTCTGACAGTGAACAATAAACACAGCATACCATTCCTTGAGTGCCACCCTCGGCCCCATCCACAGAGAATTTTCCAGGACTTGAAAGAGGAAACTGAACATGGAAAGAAGGCTCTGACACCAGGCCGTCACTATGTCAAGGGACCATTTTTATATTGCTCACCCTAAACTTTAAGTACCTTGAAGAACAAAGCAGCCATCTATCTGGAATCACAAAAATTTAGAGTTGAGTAACCATAGGAAATACAGAAGTTTAGGGTTTTAAAAAAATGATTTCCATTATAATGGGAATTCTAAAAATGCATACTTAAAAACCCTTTTCTGAGAGATTGATATATATTACAGTGACTCCAAACCTCAAACAGCTCTAAAAAACAGTGAAGATACTTGTACCCAACAGCTCATTTGGCAATTCTCATTCTTTCCTCTACTCATTCATTCAACAAATCTTTACTGAGTGCCTCCTATCTTCCAACCACTATGCTAGGCTCAGTGGTGAGCAAAAGTAGGCACAGTCCTGTCTCATGGTGCTTACAGTACAGTTCTTGTTGCTAGGTGCTGTCGAGTCAGTTCCGACCCATAGTGACCCTATGTACAACGGAAGGAAACACTGCTGGTCCTGCACCATCCTCACAATCATTGTTATCATTGAGCCCACTGTTGCAGCCACTGTGTCAGTATATCTCATTGAGGGTCTTCCTCTTTTTTCACTGACCCTCTACTTTACCAAGCATGATGTTCTTCTCCAGGGACTGATCCCTCCTGATAATATGTCCAAAGTATGTGAGTCTTAGCCTCGCCATCCTGGCTTCTAAGGAGCACTCTGGTTGTACTTCTTTCAAGACAGATTTGTTGGTTCTTTTGGCAGTTCACGGTATATTCAATATTTTCACCAACACCACAATTCAAAGGCGTCAATTCTTCTTCAGTTTTCCTTATTCATCGTCTAGCTTTCACATGCATATGAGGTGACTGAAAACACTGTTACTTAGGATAGGTGCACCTTAGTCTTCAAGGTGACACCTTTGCTTTTTTTAACACTTTAAAAAGGTCTTTTGCAGCAGATTTGCCCTATGCAATGCATCTTTTGATTTCTTGACTGCTGCTTCCATGATGTTGACTGTGGATCCAAGCAAAATGAAATCCTTGACAACTTCAATCTTTTCTCTGCTTATCATGATGTTGCTTATTGTTCCAGTTGTGAGGATTCTTGTTTTCTTTATGTTGAGATGTAATCCATGCTGTGGTCTTTGATCTTCATCAGTAAGTACTTCATGTCCTCTTCACTTTCAGCAAGCAAGGTTGTGTCATCTGAGTAACACAGGTTGTTAATGAGTCTTCCACCAATCCTGATGCTGCATTCTTCTTCATAGAGTCCAGCTTCTTGGATTATTTGCTCAGCATATATATTGAATAAGTATAGACTCTGATTCACACCTTTCCTGACTTTAAATCACACAGTATCCCCCTTGTTCTGTTAGAACAACTGCCTCTTAATCTATGTACAGATTCCTCATGAGCACAATTAAGTATTTTGGATTTCCCATTCTTTGCAATGTTATCCATAATTTGTTTATAATCCACACAGTTGAATGTCTCTGCATAGTCAATAAAACACAGGTAAACATCTTTCTGGTATTCTCTGCTTTCAGCCAAGATCCATC